TGTGGGTAGGACATGTGAGTCCAACTTTAAGACAGTTTTAGCAGATGTAATGAAAAGTGCACGTATAATAACCTTATCTAGGTGAGATACAGAATGGTTTTAATGTATGTGGAACAGATGTAATCTTTGTCAACCTTAATTTCCTCTCCTTGAGAGCCCTGATATTCTCATTTTGCAAGACCTGGCAATCAATCTAATGCTCTGTTCTGTGACAAAGACTTGGACTTTTTTTATTTTTGCTCACAGGTCTCAACTTCCTGTTAGTAATTTGAAATTATTTGCAAACATGAATTAATGAAATTAGAGGTTCTCATTCTTTATATTGAGACTTTTGATATACATGCATTTTTATTCTTTATTTCTTTTCGTATAGAGTTGTAGAGAGTCTACTGAAAGATTTTCCCATTTATTTAATTTTCAGATTCTTATCTCTAGAGCCCAATTTGACACTAAGTGCAATCTTATAGTAATAAGAAAATAATTTTGGTGTACCATTTTAAGATCTTGGCTGTGAGGCAGTGATAATAGGTGGCTCAAAACTATTGCTACCAGTCCTGGTAATTTGAGAGTGAAAACATTTCTGGGTAACCTTGGTAAGAGCTTAATGTGTAACTAGCCATAAACTTATTATATGTAATTCAGAGGGCAGATGAAGTTGTAGCACATGAAATCATGATGCCAGGCCATCAGAAGTTTAATTGTCAAAATGTATTGTTTTAAAAAGAGAAGTTGAAATGTCTGCATTCATGTGCATTAGTTGTTCTTGGTGAAGTGGATTGTGCTCAGGAGCGTGCAGTGTTGTTTCTAGGCTTTGCGGGAGCAGTCGAGTGTTTGCAAGCTGCAAATAGCAGGGCCACAGACAAGATGTGTGGGAGGTGGTTAATGATAATCATCTATTTAATTATTTTATTTTTTCTGTCCAGCACAGATGCTGTGCTGGAACTTAACTCATCCATTGCATCTGACAGGGGCTCAGTTAACGTTTTTGCTCCTTCTGTTAATAATGCTGTGACCTGTGCTTAACCTCTTTCCTACTTTTGCTGCCTGTGTCTCCTGATGGGAGAGCTTGGTGTTGGGCTAGTGCCCTTACAAACTGCTGGAAAGCTGGTGCTGGACTCTGTGGGGTTTTTTTTAGCCCTGTTCAGGAATCGATCATCTTTTGAATGGTTCTGCTTTCTGATTTAAGAGCTGTTGAATGGTCTAAGTTAAATTTATGTGAGGCTGAAATATCCCTGGTCTGAACTTAGTCTGTATCACTCCAAGTCATTTTATGTGCCAAATCTGTGGCCATTGATTCCTTTCTCTTACTGCATTAAACACACATGTAGGTTGCGTGTCCTACAAAGCCTTTTGGTTGCCTTTTTTTCATTTGAGACAGCTTATCCTAGATACCTTTTTCATATGGCATCATGCTTGGGTTTTGGTAATTCTTAGCAGGTTTGGTTACGCATTGTTTACCGTAAGACTCAGTAAGAGTTATTTTTGGATGGCACTTGAGATTAAAGTTGCAAGATATGGAACACCAAGTCCTTCTTGCTTTATTGGTCATCTCAGTTGCAGAAGTTTAAGTTACAGTTTCTGAGTGTTTCTCTGTGTAAGAAAGAATTAAGCTGCCTGGCAGAAGAGAACCTGGGGGTGCTGGTCGACAGCCGGCTGATGTGAGCCAGCAGTGTGCCCAGGTGGCCAAGAAGGCCAACAGCATCCTGGCCTGTATCAGGAATAGTGTGGCCAGCAGGACTAGGGAAGTGATTGTACCTCTGTACTGAGCACTGGTGAGGCTGTACCTTGAGAACTGTGCTTAGTTTTGGGCCCCTCACTACAAGAAGGACATTGAGGTGCTGGAGCGTGTCCAGAGAAGGGCAGTGAAGCTGGTGAGGCGCCTGGAGAACAAGTCTTATGAGGAGCAGCTGAGAGAACTGGGGTGGTTCAGCCTGGAGAAAAGGAGGCTGAGGGGAGACCTTATCACTCCCTACAATGGCCTCAAGGGAGGTTGTGGCGAGGTGGGGGTCGGTCTCTTCTCCCAAGTCACAAGTGACAGGACAAGAGGAAACAGCCTTGAGTTAGGCCAGGGGAGGTTTAGATTGGATATTAGGAAAAAGTTCTTCACTGAAAAGGTTTTCAAGCATTGGAACAGGCTGCCCAGGGAAGTGGTGGAATCACCATCCCTGGAGGTATTTAAAAGACGGGTAGATGTGGTGCTTACGGACATGGTTGACATGGTTTAGTGGTGGTTTTGGCAGCGTTATGTTGATGGTTGGACTTGATGATCTTAAAGGTCCCTTCCAACCTAGACAATTCTATGATTCTAAGTTAATGTTTATGCCCTATATTAGCATGAGCATTTGAAGTAGAGTTGTTTGTAATTAACAAATAAGTCTGAGGTGTGATCTTTATTGTAGAGATTGAGTAATTTATCTGTAGATTTAAAAAAACCCAACCCAACATTAAGGCTCAAGGGTTTAATTTACATAATAGTATTAGAAAAAGTGACTGAACTTTACTTAACCAATGTTGCTGTGAATGTATAGATCTGATGACAGAAGGTCTTATTATCTGCATGCAAGTAGCCAATAGATAAAACACACTCCATCTTCTTGCCGTGACAACACTGTTTTTGCCTGCCAGACTGTTCCATTCTGCACAGGGGGGGGGAAATCTAATTAAAGGGAGAAAATTGAATTTGGAAAAGACTTAGTATGCCATCTTGTTTTTTCTCTTACTAAATGCGGGATTAGTCGTGATTGCATGTCATGGTTAATCCTTATGTAAATGAAAGAATTGCTCTTTATTTCTCCAAGTGATCACTTGATTTAAGAATACTGTAGTAGCATAAATGACCCAGGTCATCCTCAACATAGTTTCAGATAGTCTAATATACACTGATTATTTAGATGGTCTATCTTAAAAAAATTATGAGTAAAGGAGCCATGGATTTAGCCTGTTTCTTTTTTTATTATTTTTATTGTTTTTCTTTTGTAGCTGTTAGAATCTGATTCTGAGAGGCATCTTGTCTGAATTTTTGCTGGATGAAGAATTTGACTGGCTGTGTAGGAAGGGGGAGGCATACTCCGCTTGAGTGCCAGAACTCATTGGAGGATCTGAAGTTTTTTTTTTCCTTAATAACATTATTTAAAGACAGATCAGCATTATGGATTTCCATTAATAAGAGCATCGCTAGAACAGAGACAGCACTGCTGCTAGGCTATTGCAGTCAGTTGGCAGCATGATTAGCTCTAAAAGGAAGAATGTAATTATTGTGGCAGCAGGGGCTGGCAGGGTGCCTCTTGGGGAAGGAGGAGCCAGGACAGAAAGCTGATTACCAGGAGGTGATTTCAGTAGGACTGGGTGAAGCAGAATTCACTGGAAATGGGAGAAGCTGCGTTTAGCAAGCAGGTCGAAGTGGTGATTTTGTTGTGATGTGAGGATAGAGCCAGGGTGGAGTGGAGAGGGCAGCAGTGATTCCCTGTTTGGGCAGGGGAGTTGGACTAGACGGTCTCGAGAGGTCCTTCCCATCCTCAGCAACTCTGAGGTTTGTGTGGAGGAGTCTGCGGATGGGTTTCAGAGCATGTGTGCAAGCTGCTTGCAGCCCTGGTCCTTTCCTGCTCTTGCATTCCCCAAAATTGCTCTTCCTGCCATTGGAATTTGCTTTCCTGGCTTTGCTGAGCTTTCTCTCTCCAGCTTCCAAGCACATTCCAGCAGAGATGTCATTGCTGGAGGGAGCAGTGAGAAAAAAAACCACTGGCTCTAGGAACATCATCAGTTGCTCTGATCCACCACAGCACTTTATTTAAGTGTTTTCCTTCCTTTTCCATTCTGAAAGTGTTTAAAGTCCCCTGGAATTTGTGTAGATATGTAGGCAAGAAGGAGCACAGTTACACATGACACTAAGAAAGCTTCTGGTCTCAATTCTGATTTCAGCTACGTTAATATAAATCTAGACTTCATTTGGGTACTTTCGGCTGACATCTGTTTAACTATTATCATTTAGCTGGTCCTAGTTGAAGAATGAATGCCGATGTGGTAAGACAGTATGTTAGGATACTTAATTAAGAATTAATGTTTTAACATTGGAATTCACCCTTTGAAGCAGAGGGAATTAGTGTTGAGTTGCAATCACTGTATAACAGCGGCATTCTCTCCTGCTGTTTAGGCTTTAACTAGAGCCAAAGTGTATGGGACCTGAGGCTGTAGCCCTGTGGCATGAGTTTGTCATTAAATGTTTTGTACTCAACAGATATCCTTGCAGACAGGAAATCTGCTTTATGAAAAGGTTTGTATTATTTCTTTCCTATGTTTCCTAGACACAACAGGAGAAATAGTCATAAGTGCATAGAAATACCTTGGCTCCCAGTGTATGTGTCATTTACATCCAAATAAGAGACTTTAAAGCAAAATGGTTTACTTATGAGACAATAGTCAGGAAAGGGTCCCATGCAGAAGCTTGCTGCTTAGCTTACTTTTTATGATTCCCTCCTGTGGGATCAACCCTGCAGACTATGCTTCTTAGTTTTATAGGCTGGATCTCATTCTGCAAATTTTCATGTGCACATACCTTACTGCTGTGTTGTTTTTTTTTAACCAACGCTGCTGTAGTTTCCCAAGCAAGCTGTAGTTGAGTAATTGGGGAAAACCCGAGATGTTCTAATGTTGTCAAGTTTATGCTACAGCATGTTGATTAAAACTGGAGAATATTGTTGAACTTGTGCTCCTAGTAAAGTGTACCTTAAGAAAAATGTCATAGTTATTTTTAATTACTTGTTTTCATTGCTGTAGACTGGCCTCTTCCGTACTTTAACGACTGTCAAATTATCATTGAAAGTTCAGAAGATCCTCACTGTTATGTTCCAGGGTTTGTTTAGAATGCTTGATGTCTTTCAGGAGCTTCTGAAATGTGGTATTTTATTTTGTGTTTTCCTTTGGTTTTAATTCTTAAATGATCCCTCTTTTCAGATTTCAAATTATAATCTATTTCCTGATGCATTGCTGACGCCCTGTGAGCCATGTCAGAAGTACTTCCAGGTCAGATGCCCTTTAAAAGATTCTGCTATGCAAATATATGAAATTTTCCTCTTCTTTTTCTTCTGTTGCCTCTCAGGCCCATATTTCGCTTTCATTTTACACTTATACATGAAAAAGAGCAAGCACTTTCATTTCTTTTTAACAGTGTCTTTTTTGAATAAACTCTCTATTCAGCTTTTAAAAAATGATTCCTATAGACAATACAATGCAAAAAAAGTCTTATTAGAGGCAAAGACAAAGCGGTCATGCACTGTGTTCTGTTTGCAGCGGCATTTTCTATCTCCTCCTTCCGGCTCTGGGAGGCTTATGACAAGATTGAAAAACATCAATAAAAGCCATTCAAGTAATAGTGTTATTTGTATTATTATGATGCTTAGAAAAATGAGACTACTTTTGTGTTAAACACATTATAGAGGTGAAAATGTATTAATCTATATCTGTAGGTGTGTTTCTAAACATTACAAGTATGCAGTTGAGACTGTGATTTGTTTTAAAAAGTAAGCAAGCTAAAATCATTAATGAATTTCTATGACAGCTCCTCTACCTACTGAAGTGCTGTCTTTAAGCACTTTTTCATAATATCCTAATTATTCTCAGTAATGATAATGTCCTAATTATTTTTAGTTTTTCTCCAAAGTCCAATTTTTTTTTATAATACGACATTTTTAGTCACTAATAATTTACCACTGTTCACCTACTTAGAGGAGTGGAAAAAAGGGTGCCCTGTGCCAGTGGCATTGTCCTTGCTGGTGGCCAGGCAGCACGAGGAGCTGCCGGAGCAAGGGGGGACGGGAGCTGCCTGTGGCGGAGTCTCTGGGTGCAGGACCCCTGGCACAGGGTCCTGGTTAGGTGGTGAGGGGCGCAGCACCAGCCTGTGTTGGATACCCCTGGGGTGAGGGAGGCAGGTTCAGTAGGAGAGACGTAATAAAAGGTACAGGAAGTCAGCGATTGGAATTTTGGTCTTGAAATTGCAGGCACGGGAAGAAGTTGCATTTCCTTGAAGTTTTTAATTAGAAAGTTGGGATGTACTTCCTCTGGGAAAAGTGACACGTTTAGAGCATCACCATGTCCTGTATCAAGGAGGAGGGACAAGCTATTGCTCTTCTTCGTTATGCTGTTCTACTATGCAATCTAGGTTTTCTTCAGTGGCTTTAAGCATTTCCTTGTATTCAAACGTTTTCCAGCAGTTTACTTAGTTCTGGTCTGATAGCAACTTCTGCCCTTGAGGTGCAAGACTTGCCCTTTCCCATCTGTATTTCTTATTCTCTTTTTGCCTCTTCTGTTGCTTCTCTTTTTCCCATCTCTATATCTGTGTCCGGAGTGGAGGGATGCCGGCTGCGCGGATCCCAGAGCCTGGCTGGGAGTGCAGGGTGACGGCCAGCGAGCAGGCGCCTGTCCTTTGAGAGAAGAGCCTGCTCCGCTCTGTGCATGCCTCGTGGTACTGCTTTGCATGTTCGTTGGTCATTTGGTCATGATGACTTGATCAATGGTCATTTGAAAAGGGGGTCAGGAGGGGAGGTGCTGTCTAGTGAAAAGTTCATTTTGACATTTTTCTGCTTAGAATCATACACCAACTTAGCACCCAACTTACAAGCACTGTTTGGGTCACAAAGAATTCTGGAGGCTTCGGTTCAGTCAGAACAATGTGTCAGTGTTCATAGAATCATAGAATACCGGGTTGGAAGGGACCTCAAGGATCGTCTGGTCCAACCTTTTTTGGCTAAAGCATGGTGTAGATAACGGGGCGCTTTGTCAAGCTTAGTGATAAAACAATACATTTTGTTTCAATGTTTCTATGTGCTTATTCTTACATTTTTGATAAGTGAAATGCTAACTGCAGGAGACTGGCTAAAGATAATCTGACAGGCACTCACTTAAGCTTTCTCTAGGAAGATTATTTTTTAAGAAATTTGTTCAGTTGTAAAAATAGTGGCAAATGTTGCATGAAGTAACTCATTTGTAATACAGGACTAGAATAAATTTCAGTCTTGTTCCAGATGGGAGTTGTATTTATTGATCTAAAAAAAAATGCTTGTTTTAATTTGCTGAAGCATAAAGTAAAATGTAATCTAGTGAAATCCGTAGATAACTGTGCGATTCCATAAATTCTGAAGCTAAGGCAGTGGGTCAGAATTATCCTGCTCTATTAATTTGTTTTTTTTTAATGTGAATTCCAGATTGTCAGACTTTTAACTGATTCAGAAAAACTGTAAATCAGGCAGTCCATAAACACAGACCATTTCATGTTTTTAGATTAAAACATGTACTTTGTTAACATTATGAAGGATCAGCTGTGACCTTGCTTGCCATACACTTGTTTTTAGACAAGATGCAGAAAGCAACATACACTGATGTATTTATGAGAAGCACGTTTACAGAGTTCCTTTAAATTATGTGATGGTTGTGTTTTAGAAGTCTTGTGGCTAAAGCTGACATTGTCCACGGTATGTTTGTTAACTGTTACCTAAGCTGATGGCTTTTGCATAGTGTGCGTGGGGTGATCTGTCTTCTGAAGAATTTGCAGTTGGTCTAGACTGATTGGTTCTTGAGGAAACGGCAGACATGAAAATTTGTAAAATTTAGTTTAAATTCTGTTCTGAATAATTTTTAGAAGTTATTCTAGGTGGGTAATTCAGTGAACAAAGAGTATACTTGGTCTGCTTGGTTTTAAGTGAACCAGAGGGATGGTTGGAAATGCGCAGCTTTGACAGCACATCAAAGAGGAGGGAACGTTGTGGAGTGCTCCTTTTCACTTCGTGTTTATGTATATGTTCTTTTAAAACCCATATATTTAATCTCTTGTAAATCTGTACAGCAGTCAGTTCTGTCATATATCAAATACACAAGGATGCAGCACAACTCAGCTGGAATGATCTGTCATCGGCTAGCTCAAATTATAGCTTTTCATTCCTGGATGAGCCCCAGACATGTTTTTATGTGCAATATAAGCAGTCAGTGATATCTGAGAATTAGGAACAACAGAAAGGGTGTTTCATGCTATGGCAGATGGGAGTGATTTATTAATTGGCCTCTAATTTGGTTGCCACATGTCAAAAACAGTGACTACTGCAGTATGTAAATTGAGGTGTTTGTGGAGTATTTGTGCAGATTAGTGGGAAGCATAAATAGACGGTTTTTCAATAAATATATTTCTGATCATTTTTCATAGTCTAAAAATCTGTTCCCTCAACAAACTTAATATGTTTTCAAAAGGTGAGCTGCGCCCCTGGCTAACAAAAAGCAGAAACTTGTCTACAAGTAGACAAAAGAACAGTTTTATCTAACGGTGGAATATGTGTACTCTGCCCTAGGATGCATGTTTTATCCTTAAGTTTGAACTTTGTGAGCTGTAGAAATAGTGAGCCATCTTCATCTCTGGAGCAGCATTTTTTTTAAAGTTGATTGAATTAGAGATTAGAGCAGGATATTTTGTCAAGGGATTCCCCCCCTGAAATCAAATACACTATTGCAAAATAATCTACTTCTTGTATTCCCTGTGTTCTGACCCTCTACTTCCCCCTCCAAAAAAATCAAAGGCAAAAAAAAAAAAAAAAAGGAGGGGGAGGGAGAGAGAAAGACAGACAGAGCAGAGGAAATGCAGGTGTTAAGAGGCAACAGCTCACTGGCCAGTCAGGCTTAAAATGAACAATACTTGAGGTCTGCCTCAAGATGAAAAAGGAGCAGTGTCTGCCTGTGGTCTGTTTAGAAATTTCTCAAATTTTCTGCTTCCTAGTGATGAGCGCTTGAGGAGTTCTTCCCCTCCTCATCAGACATAGAGGTGAAATACTAAAATGAAATGATGCTAAGGTCGACTTCTGGACTCCCAGGCATTTGCAAAGGGAACTTCTCCTCTCCCCAAGCCTGCCAGCTACATAATCATATGTGGAAAAAACCTGCCTTGTGTAGGGTCAAGCTTTCTGCTTTTTCTCAGCGTTGTGGTCCTGATGATCTCTCTATATTTTTTCTGGCTCTGTTTTTCCTCATTTAATAGGCTAAGCTTTTGTCTGTTCTCTTACCCACTTAGGTTGTGGTAATTTTCATACTGTAAAACAATTATGTAAAGTGCTGCATGCCTTTACCAGAAGCCCTGGCAAAATAGTGTATATAATGGAAGTGTTTCACAACTGTTTCTTTTGCTTTTCTAGTCGATTCCGGCGTGGACGCGTTGGCAGTGTTTATGGCAAGCAGCAGCACGACGGACGTTGTGAATCGCAACAACCCTGCCACCCCGCCGAACACTCTGAACCTGCGCTCCTCTCATAACGAACTTCTGAATGCAGAAATTAGGCACACAGAGACCAAGAACAGCACTCCTCCGAAATGCAGGAAAAAATATGCGCTGACTAACATTCAGACAGCCATGGGTCTTTCTGATCCTGCAGCGCAGCCCCTTCTGGGGAACAGCTCTGCCAATATAAAGCTGGTGAAGAATGGAGAAAACCAGCTCAGGAAAGCTGCCGAACAGGGACAGCAGGATCCCAACAAAAACCTCAGTACCACTGCGGGCATAAACGTAACTTCTGAGAAGTTTGAAGGCAAAGAGCCGATCCCGCAGGATTCCTCTGGTTGTGAAATATTACCCTCGCAGCCGAGGAGGACCAAAAGCTTCCTGAATTACTATGCGGATCTAGAGACATCTGCTAGAGAGCTAGAGCAGAGTTTTGTTGCGATGGAAGACAAATCTGCACAAAGCAACAGCCAGGCTTCCACCGTTATTGTCAATGGGGAAGTCCTGCCCCGGAAACAAAACAAGCTGTCAAGCCCAGAGGATGGCCAAGTTGCCACGGTGTCGTCAAGCCCTGAGACTAAGAAAGACCACCCAAAAACTGGGGCCAAAACAGATTGCGCGCTCCATAGAATTCAAAACCTGGCCCCAAGCGACGAGGACTCCAGCTGGACTACGCTGTCCCAGGACAGTGCCTCGCCGAGCTCACCCGACGAAACAGGTACGTAAGTAAAGGCTGCTCTCAGCCAGTGATTGGCAAATGTATTGCTTAACCCTTCTCAACTGGCAGCTGGAAGGAGAGAGGTGATTTAGCGGTGCTTTTGGTGGGGAAGTGGATTACATGAAAACACAAGTACTGGGCTTGCACGCAGCTCCTTCTCTGCTTGGGAATGCTTGACAGCCTCCCGCTCAGTCCTAGCAGCATTACTGCTGCTTTAGGAAAGGCACTACTGAATGCTATAGGCAGGGTCCTAGAAATATGCTAACTGCACCTTTTGCTGGTTTATAAATAATTGCTTTTCACTAATCAGTGGGTACATGTTATGCAAAGTACATGATTGTGTGGAGATGCTAAACTACTGATAGGTGCCCACCCACAACAAACTTTTCTGAGCAATGATTTTTAGGTTCAGCAAAGGTTTTTACTTTTCTAATTCAAATCTTTGTGAGTGTCCCCCCTCCACTCCCAGTCATTTGATGATACTCTTTTATTTTAAAAGAAGTCCTCCCAAACCTTGGGTAATGTAATTTCTGTGTTTTGTTTGCTCAGCACAGTAGTTCCATACAGTAACTCAGAAGCTGAAACCATGGCATTTTGTATTTTGGAAGCCTGGGCTCATTAATTATTTGAACAGTAATGATGACTTCTGCAATGACTCTGTTGTGATTTACAACACATCTGTATTATTTTAATACTCTAGAGATCCATTTACTGTAGTTGATGAACTTCATAACTTTTTTTATATCCAGGCCAATATAAAAAGGTACAACTTTGTCAAAATGAGAGGAGTCAGTCCGATTCTTCAGAGTGACATGGGGCTAAAGAAGTTTGTGATACATTGTTTGTATTTTAAGTGATTTCATTATTATGTCACAGAGATTATACACTGTTTGGAGGCCACCATGGTCCAAATCCACAGCTGCGTTACATGGCAGTCGTGCATGGTTATGACAATAGTAATTTTTATTTTAACGTGTAGGGCTTTTTTTTAACATCACAACCAGAAATCCCCATTATGTGATGTATAATGAATATTCTGATCTTCTTTTTGATATGTAACAAACCTTTGCTGTTAAGAGAGGAAATTTTGGTGAAGTCACCTCTTCATGTGCAAAATGAAAAAGTTTTCAGTTTACTAAAAATCATTGTTTGAGTTAGTAGTATTTCTCAGGATACTTGATATAGTATGTGTGACATCACTGATTACATTTTCTGAAGAAACTATGAATAGAAAGTATTTAGGTAACTTAATGATGAGCTTCTTGGCTCCTTCTGTCTTTGTACTTGCTCCAGGTTTGGCAATGAGAAATTGTGAGTAGAAAATTTATATTCACTGAAAACTAAATTAGAGTAATTCCAAGTAGTGTAATTAAATAAGGGTGGCCTAAGATGCTAAGAGCTAGCTTAAGTTTTGTTTCTTTTTAAAGAATGTGTTTAAAATTTTCTTCCCACATGTGTATTGCCCCTGTGTGGTGTATGAGCTCTTTTAGCACTCAGGAAGGGGGATTTTCTGAGCTGTTTTGAGGTTTTCACAAGTTTGCTTATTTAGGTAACCAGTGTTAGCTGAGCTGTGGTTTGTTGGCACTATGGAAATAAAGGGGAACTTTCCCTGCTGAGTATGAGGAATTTCCTAATTTAAAAATAATTTTAAAAAATCAATTAATTAATAAAGCGCTCAGAGCTCACCATTCTTCTAATGTGAATAAAGGGCTTTTTTAAAATTCTCTGCTACCTTCACCATACTAGCAACCCCAATGTATTATAAACAGACAGTTACAGGAAAGCAGATATCCATATATCTGAGTTCAGTCTCCGTAAGAAAAGAGTAAAAATAAACAGAAAGCCCTAGAAAACCTCAAAATTGCCTTTCAAGATCGAAGTGGTAGAGGTGTTTCTTTCTCATCCTCGTGGTCATTGTCAGAGAGCACCAAGTAGGATGTAGGACCTGTCACACTTGATTGGATTGCTGCTTTTAAGATGCCTGTATATGTAAGTGTTCATGGACTATAAAAATATTCAATTATTGCAACTTGCAACTTACAGACATCCATCTCTTGGGATTATTTGCTATCTTGAATTTACCTCCACTCTGATAAAATTGTTTCATTAAGGGCTTCCAGTTTCTTTCCAAAATGGACTATAACTGATACAACAGAAGACAGCTAAGAAATAAAACGTCGAGTTGCCATGGATGCCAGGATGGCTTTTGGACATGATAAAACAGACCAGTTTCTCAGGCTTGCCTGCAGCTCCTTCTGGGAGGCTGAAAAGGAGGGGGGGGGTTGCAAAAAGCAGTGCAGCTGGTGTAGAACAAAGCAGAAATCACAACTGGTGTGAATATCTCCAGAATTACTCAATTGGGGGAAAATTTTCTAGTTGTTGTCCAGGGCTCCAGCCTTGTAGATTTGAGTAATGTGCCATCCCTGGGCAAGTTCATGCATCTCCATGGATGTTTGAAGGGTAATAAAACAGGAGATGATGTAAAAGTTGTGTAAATGAACTGAACTTTCTTTTTTGAGGCAGGGTGAAGAACAGTTCAGTATTTTGTGTTGAAATCACCTGTGCCTTTTCCATCTCCTTCCCAAGAGTTGCTTGAGTTGCTGTGGTGCTGATTGACAAGCGTTCGCTTCTCACTGTGCCAGGTCAAGCTACGGGAGTTACCTCACTTGCCAAATAACTTTGGTGGTACAGCAGTGGGTGGAGTTGGAAGTGCTGGAGGAAATCAAGTAACGCTTGGTGCTTCCCGAAACCCCTTGCACCCTTCTGCCATGCTGGGGACAGAGAAGGAGTTTCCCGCAAGCAGAACATACATCCAATGCATTTATATCAGTGGTAGTTGACCAAAAACCCGAGAGATTCCCACGGGGCTAGCCCCTCTGAGGCCACAGAGTAGATGTGAGAGCCCATATTTAGAAGTAGGCAAGAAGAAGAAACCTCAGAAACCAAGGATTGGTGGTATTTCAGGTCTCTTGTGATTGTCTAATCTGGTTTTAAACATTGCTTCAGTGGCGGTGTTGCCCCAGCCTGCTTAGGCTATCTGCTCTAGAGCCACATTGCGCTTTCCCCTGTAGCAGATCGTTCCACTCTTTTTAGTGTAATCTTTCATTCCTCATTCACCCTGTGTGCCAGCATGGGTGAAGGGGAAGGAGGCCCTCCCAACTGAGGAGTCGTGCCCTGATGGTGGTGCCCATCCTGGAAGTCCAAGATGTTGGGCATAGCCAGTGTTCATCCTCACTGCCACTTCATCTGGGTGGGAGGAGAGCATCACATGGGGTCTTCATGGCTCAATGCCCTCCAACCCTGGTGTTGATGCTCCAGTAATAAGTGTTAGGGGCCAAAGGGAGAAAGGCGTCTGGGAGAAAAATCTGCAAAAGTAGACAGTTTTCGGCATAGGACTTCTGGGAAGAGGAAGAAAACCCCACCGGTTTTGAGAACACTTAATCCATTAAAAAGTGTAGTCCAGCAGATACCTGAGAATTATTAATGCTCAATCCAGCGATTATATTTAGCACTTTAGTATACATAGGAATACAATGTTGTTCTTTCATGGCTTCTCAATTGTTTTGTCTTCCTCTTCCCTCTTTTAACACAATTCATTATTCAAATACTGGAAAACTCAATGTTGTTTTGTGGTTTGGTTTTGTTTGTTTGTTTGTTTTCATGTGTTTTGTTTTGGAGATAGGTAATGCAAAGGCCCTGAGAAATTTACTCTTATTTGTTTGCACCAAGGACGCATTATTGTTTAGACAAAATCCTCCTGAACTCTCCTTAGCGCAGGATACTTTTACTTGTGGTCTAACGAAAAGGTGTTTTCAAGAGGCTTGACCCTCTCTCTGAGTGAGGAGGCAAAAATAAGACAACTCAATTTAAAGATGCAAAACAACGGGCTGGTTATTAAATAAATGTTAATGTTGCTGATTAGTAATGTTGCTAAACAAACATAATAGAGTCCATTAGTAATGGAGGCACTGAACACCACAAGCACAGTGCAGTATAAGAATTGTGTTTTGAGAAAACTCTTCTTTTTCCTCCAAAGAAATTACCTGTATCCGCTTCTTGACAAGAACTACATTCACTTCAACTTCCAGGGAATTTTATGAGCACTTTTAGCTTTCTAACCTCCTTCCTGAGATTCAGTGCTTCAAAAAAGAAAGAGTGGGGTGATTTGAGAAATAGAAAAGACTTTTAGACAGCAATGCAATAGGGTGTTCTCTAGATGCTTAGCATGTTTCAGGCAGCCATTCCTAGAGGCAGACAGGGGCTTGCCACTGGAGCTGACTGACACCCAGCACTACAGGCGGTCCTCCCCAGACAAGCAAGCTTGTCTCCCTTGGCCTCAGGCATGGCATCTTCTCTGGAACCTACTGCACCCATCCAGCTGAATCTGCTGTCATTTGGAGAGTGTCTTGCGGGTAACCAAACACTAGCTCCAGATGTCTTCAAAACTGCAAATGGCCCAGAGCTGGTTTTAAATCATGGGGAATGTTTCTACCTCTCTCTCAAGAAAATTTCCGTAGTCTGATTTTCAAAGGAAATGTGTCTCGTGTTGTTACACTACCTATTCTTTGTCTCTATGTATTCATCAGTTTCACCAACATTTCATGAATCTGTGTGGTGTGAACAACAGGAGTCAAGTGCATGCCCCAGAGCCCAAACCTAGGGGAGGATGAGGGTGATGCTAGTGCTGTTTGCTGTTTGTGGCTTGGTTTTTTGTTTTGGTTTGTTTGTTTGTTTTTTTTTTTTAATGAAGCCTACCAGAATGTCTGTAGAAAGCAGGCACGTTTCTTAAACTTCCTATCACCTGCAGTTTCAGTGGAAAGTTATCCCTCCTTAGCAAAGCACAGCTCTCTATGTGATGGTCTCTAATGAATTAGGAACGAGAATTCTGTAGGAAAATAAAAGGATTTTTGTTTGCCTCAAACCAAGAAAAATACTGGAATTTGTGTTTTGCTTCCTGTTTTATCTTAATTTGAACAAAACCCCCTCTTTCCAGAGCAGGG